ATGAAAAGAATAAAAGAGAATGTTGAGATTATAAAATGAAAGAAGATGAAAAAGAATATTTCAAAATGAGATATAAAAGATGAAAAGAATGATGAAATAATGGATGTATTTTTTATTATAGAAATTAGAAATATGAAATAAAAAATGTTTTAATTTATTGATACAAATTAATTAACATTATTTTATTTATGCAATTTATTTTATTCTTTTTTATTTTTATAATTTTTATTTATATGTATTATTTATTATCTTTTTTCTTTTTAGTATATTGTTTATTTTAATTTATTATTTATTATTCTTTTATTTATTTTTCTCTATTCTTTTATTTGTTAATTTTTATTATATTTATGAAATATTTCATTATTATAAATAATTTTATTGTTTAATTATTTAAATGATTTATATTAAAATGAATTTATTTTATATTTTATTGTTTTCTTTTATCTTTATTTTATATTTTAATAATTTCTTTAATATCATCATTTTATATTATTATTATCTTTATTGTTTCATATTTTTATTTATTATTATTATTATTGTATTTTCATTTCTTATTTTATTTTAATTTATTATTAATATTATTTATATTTCTTTTCTTTCTTATTATTCTTCTTTATTCTTATTATTTCTTTATTTCTTATTTTTTTATTTTATTTATTTTCATTTTATTCATATTTTCATTTCTTGTTTTGATTATTTTGATTTGATTTAATTTTAATTTTTATTATTATTATATTTTTGATTATTCTTATTTATTTATCATTTATTTATTATTTGATTTTATTATTATCATTTGATTTATATTTATTATTTATTTCTTTTATTATCTTTCTTTTCTTTATTATTTATTATTTATATTATATTCTTATTTCTTATTATTTATTTTTGATTTTAAATGATTGTTTCAATATTCATCATTTTATTTATATCTATTATCTTAATCTTATATCATTAATTTCTATCATTAAATATTAAATAATCAATGTGATATAACAAATAATTTAAATAATATATCATTATAAAATAAAATAATTAATAAATGATTTCATAATAAATATTAAAATCATAAAATAATGAATAATAT